TGCAGCCCGGACCCAAATCATCCACACCTGCAGGCCATCCTGTTGATAAGGATGCTGCAGACGAGCTCTCCTCCCTGCTGGAGCATTGACTAGTGATTCATGGTAGTTATTGCTTCTGGCCCTTTAGTGTCCTTGTGAAAGTGATTACTAATATCTCTTGTTTCTTGTGCCCTAGCTTACCTGTGCCTTCAAGTGCCTCCGTGTGCTGACTTTCTTGGATCCCAGCACCTCCTTGTGTTTATTGCCCTCCATCAACTGGCCTGCCAAAACCTGTGTCTCTTCCTGGAACCTTGTGGAATCGAATCCGACCTGGACCTCCTCTCAGTCTGTAAGATAAGAAATACCTATTTAAAATCCTCAGCCTCTAAGTGGAACCTCTCTGATTTATATCCTTGCCCCTCAGGACTCCAGTGGATCATCATTGCACATTTTAATATCAATCTGTGAAAATAAACACTTAACTTTTCTACGTGTAGAGTCTCACTGGTTTTCATACTATCTGGGTCCCTCGAGTTCTGACATTACCCCGTAGATTTTTTATGGGGTTAAGGTCAGGTGAGTTTGCTGGCCAATTAACAACAGGGATACCATAATCCTTAAACCAGGTACTGGCGGCTTTGGCACTGTGTGCAGGTGCCAAGTCTTGTTGGAAAATGAAATCTGGATCTCCATAAAGTTGGTCAGCAGCAGGAAGCATGAAGTGCTCTAAAACTTCCTGGCTGATGGCTGTGTTGACCTTGGACTTCAGAAAACACAGTGGACCAACACCAGCAGATGACATGGCACCCCAAACCATCACTGACTGTGGAAACTTGACACTTGACCTCAAGCGACGTGGATTCTGTGCCTCTCCTCTCTTCCCCCAGACTCTGGGACCTTGATTTCCCAAGGAAATGTAAAATTTACTTTCATCAGAGAACATAACTTTGGACCACTCAGCAGCAATGCCAGGCGAGACGCTTATGACGCTGTCTCTTGTTCAAGAGTGGCTTGACCCAAGGAATGCGACAGCTGAAACCCATGTCTTGCATACGTTTGTGCGTGGTGGTTCTTGAAGCACTGACTCCACCTGCATTCCACTCTTTGTGAATCTCCCCCACATTTTGGAATGGGTTTTGTTTCACTATCCTCTCCAGGGTGCAGTTATCTCTATTGCTTGTACTCTTTTTTTCTACCACTGTTTCCTTCCCGTCACCTCTCTATTAATGTGCTTGTCACAGAGCTCTGTGAACACCCAGACTCTTTAGCAATTCCCTTTTGTGTCTTGCTGTTCTTGTGCAAGGTGCCAGTGGTCGCCTTTTGGACAACTGTCAAGTCAGCTGTCTTCCCCATGATTGTGTAGCCTCCAGCTAGACTGAGACCATTTAAAAGCCTTTACAAGTGTTTTGAGTTAATTAGCTGATTAGTGTGGCACCAGATGTCTTCAATATTGAATCTTTTCACAACATTTTAATTTTCTGAGATACTGAATTTGAGGTTTTCATTAGTTGTCAGTTATGATCATCAGCATGTACCCACTGGTACATTTTCATCTTTAAATCACTTCTTGGTCTGCTGCCTTCATACATCTCCTCCTACATGTCTCTGCATGAGTACAGCTACAGCGTGCACTCTCAGGACATTATTACCTGCAGTGTTCCCTCAGTGCGGACTGAACGTGGCAAAAGGGCCTTCTACTACTCCGCTCCTGTTTCCTGGAATATCTTGCAAAAAGATCTGAAGCTCTCGACCTTTGACCTCTCTAAGTGGCTTCAAAAATCTGTTAGACTCCTGGCAGGGACCAATGCAGACATGTTCCTGTTTTTAGTTTTCTACACTCGTCTTATAGTCTAGCTGTTTGTTACTTTTTTTTGCCATCTTATTTGTAAAAAAATAATAAAATCTGTATTGTTGCCCATTGTTATCGTCATTCTTTGTTGAAATCAGGTCTCTCTTGTAAATGAGTCCTCGAGGCTCAATGGGGTTGTCTAAATAAAGGTTGAATGAATGAATGAACATTAAAAGAAATAAACATTTGAAATATCAGTCTGTGTGTAATGAATGAATACAATATACAAGTTTCACTTTTTGAGTGGAATTACTGAAATAAATCAATTTTTTCACAATTTTCTAATTTAATGACCAGCACTTGTAATTGTATTCTAAAAACTTTTTTTAATCCTTTCACATTGATTTAACCTGGAATATATTCATTGCAGGTGGGGTTACCCCTCACAATGTGACGCCTGGCCCTACTACCTGTGCCCCAAACCGTTTCCACTGTGGATCTGGAGCTTGTATCATCAACACCTGGGTGTGTGATGGATATGCTGACTGTCCTGATGGCAGCGATGAGCTCGGATGTCCTACAGGTTCAAATTTTTACTGAATGAAATTTGTACTGAAAAAAGAACAGGAATTCTTTCCTTGTGTAAGGTGACCAAACATGGGTGGTCCTGTTTTTATATGCCCGTCATAAGGCTGTATGCCACTGTGGTATAGGTACATTTTCATAATGCTGTATGGTCTTCTGATATATGTATTATTATCGTAAGGCTGTATGGTCCTGTGGTATAGATCTTGTTCAATTCAATTTAGTTTATTTATATAGCGCCACATCACAATAAAGTTGTCTCAGGGCACTTTACAGGAACATTCACATACATAAAAGCCAATTAGTCAAGTTCTCTATCTAAGGAATCCAGCATTATTATCAAAAGGCTGCATGATCTTTTAGTATCAGTATTATCATAAAGCTGTAAGATCTTGTGGTATAGGCATTATTATCACGAGGCTGTAAGGTTTTGTGGTATAGGTCTTATTATGGTGTAGCTGTCGTCTGTCCGTATGTCCATAAACGTTTTCTTGTCCCACCCATAACTTCTTTTTTTTATGACTTAAGCTTTATTGACTTTCCATAAAGAAAATATACATTGCAGTTACACATATAACATAGTACATGCTAAACAGTGGTTAGTCCTTGTGAATTCTCTAGAGTAAATGTCCGAAATAGTCATCAAAGATTACTTAATAATGCAAAAAAAAAAAAAAATATATATATATATATATATATGTATATGTGTGTGTGTATTTATATATATATATGTGTATGTGTGTGTTTATATATATATATAAATATATATATATATATATATATATATACATAACAATAATAATAATGTTATTAATTAAAGCTGCAAGCAGCATTTGAGGCCCTAGCAGCAAAGCGCCGCTCCATCCTTACGGAGACAGCGGGAGCTCCAGCTAGTCCACCCAGTCGCCATCGTGAACGCTCTCATGCCAATCCCGCACACGTTTCCCACGGGGCGCATTTCCCAAATCTTCGACATTGCCTTATGTCCATGTCGTTACTTGTCCAGCTGCAGGTCTTAAAGGTATAGGCAAAATCTGACCTTCCACACAGGAGTTTTGGATGACTTCCTGTTTTGTTGCAAATGTTTCACAAGCTCTTCCTTTATGCTTTTCAACATGTCATGTGTCGCAATCAACAGTTAGCGAACAAAGTTTCATTGTAATATCTTACACAGTGCGAAGTTGGAAGTGTCATCCAATAATCAACAGTTTTTTCTCTGAGTAGGTGGGGCTTAAGTGATGTCATGAATCAGCAATACCAATGTGTCGACAAGTGCTCACTGATGAAACACAAAAACTCAGGTTCAGATTGGATGATGTATCATTGAGATCTAAGTGTTGGAATAATGTAGGGGGCGCACTTTAGTCCAATGTTAAAGAACAATATCAATGTGTCTGTAAGTGCTCACTAATCATGCACACAAAATCTGGTACATATTGGATGATAATTCATTGAGATATAACTTTTTGAATAATTTAGGGATGCACTGTATTCAAAAGTTAACAATACCAGTGTGTTTAGAAGAGCTCACTAATGACGTACCAAAAATCTGGCCTAGATTGGATGATATTTCACAGAGATATAACTCTTGGAATAATCTAGGGTGCGCACTTGAGTCATATGTTAAACTACAATATCAATGTGTCTAGATGTGCTCACTGATTATGCACAAATTCTAGTTCAGATTGGATGATGTGTCACTGAGATATAACTGTTGGAATAATGTAGGGGAAGCACTTGAGTCAAATGTTAAAGAACAATACCAATGCTCACTGATCATGCACATAAAATCTGGTACATATTGCATGATATTTCATTGAGATAATTCTGTTGCCATAATCTAGGGGGCACACTGGAGTCAAACTTTAAGCAACAATACCAGTGTGTCTAGAAGTGCTCACTAAAGAAGTACCCAAAATCTTGTGTAGATCAGATGATATATCACTGAGATATAACTGATTCAATAATCTAGGGGGCGCTTCAAATGTTAAATAACAACACACTTTTATATAGATGTGCTCCCTGATCACGCACAAAAAAATCTGGTGCAGATCGGATAATATATCATTGAGATATAACATTTGAATAGTCTGGGGGGTGCACTTGAGTCAAATGTTAAACAACAGTACCAATGTATCTAGAAATGCTCACAGATAACGTACCAAAAATTTGTTGCGGATAGGATGATGTATCATTGAGATCTAACTGTTGGAATATCTAGGGGGTGCACTGGAGTCATATGTTAAACCACAATATCAATGTGTCTAAAAGTCCTCACTGATGATGCACAATAAATCTGGTGCAGATCGGATGTTGTATCACTGAGCTATAACTGTAGGAATAATGTAAGTGGCGCTGTGGAGGCCACTGGCCACTTATCATGGATACATGTTCAAGGGGCAGATAATGATTGCTCATAGTGATTTTGGTGCACCTCGACTGAAATCTGTCCAATGTAGAGCCAAACGTATTGCAACGGCGTCACTTGGTAATTTGCCACGCCGTCACGCCCACATCCTCAAGCCAAAACGGTTTACGCTTTAAATCAAGTCAGACCATATTATCGGTCTTTTAACACAGGATCATCCTGATTAGGTCAATGGTTTCAAAGAGGGAGCATTCCAAGTTAAAAAATTGACTTCCTGTTTTGAGGGGGCGGGGCTTTGATGATGTCAAAATATGACCACATTAGATCATTGGGCATCCAACAGGGATGAATCGTGCCAAGTTTCGTGCATTTCGATTTTTCAATGTGAAAGTTGTAGCTTTTGGAAATTTATGGCGTGAAGCGAAAATTTGAGGGCTTGCCACGCCCCTTTAGCAAATACGAAAACGCAAGCTTTTGATAACTTTTACTCCCCAATGTCTTAAGGGCATATTAACCAAGTTTGAAGGCATTCCATCAAAATCCCTAGGAGGAGTTCGTTAAAATGTGCCCTTAGAAACGCCTAAAATTGACCTTTTGACCAAAAATGGCCGACTTCCTGTTGATTTTGGACCAGGGCTCCAAGAGACTTTTTCATAGGTCCTGAGAAGATAAAGATGTTCACCGAGTTTCAGAATTATCGGTTAAAAAAATGGCTTGGAGCTAGGGTTTATAATATTCTAGGGGGCGCTGTGGAGGCTATTGGCCACTTATCATGGCTTCCTGTTCAAGGGGTGGATAATGATCGATCATACTGATTTTGGTGCACCTCGGTTCAAAAATGTGGAATTTAGAGCCAAACATATGGTGACAGAGTTACATCTTACTTTGCCACGCCGCGCCGCCCACATGCTCCACCCAAAACTGTCAGTGTTGGAAAGCAGGTTACACCAATATGTTTTCGGTCACTGGACTCACAATCATGCTGATCAGGTAACAGGGGTTAGATAGGGATTGTTCAAAGTAAAACTTTACAATTCCTGTTATCAGGGGGCGTGGCTTAAGTGATGTCATGATTTGACCATTAAGTCTTGCAGGGGACCGGATGTGGATCAATCACTGAAGGTTTGATGTGTCAGACAGTTTTCATGTAGGAGCTCTTAGCGTTTCATTTTTCATGGCAATATGTCCAACTTTCAGGTCTGGCCCCGCCCCTTCAGCATGTTCCGAAACAAACCGTTTAGATATTTTTGCGTCCCCCATGCCTTTTGACCAAAATGGTTTGTTCAAATGCAGAGGCTGTAAACTGCCAAAAAGGTGTGTAAATTGGCCCGTCATTCCAAAATGTCCGCCTTCCTGTTCCGTACAATGTTGGTGCCAGATGGTTTTCTGAGCATCTTGTGGAATTGGACAAACGTACCCAATTTCATGTTTCTACGACAAAACTAAGGTTAATCTGGAAGATATTTTGAAAATTTCTAGGTGGCACTCTTGAGCCGTTTTTGTTGCGATTTTTGCCACGCCCTTAAAATACGTAATTTTTCAGCAGTCCTGATGCGTCCACCAAATTTGGTGATTTTTTTTTTTAATACAAATAAGATGGCAAAAAAAGTAAAAATAGCTAGATTTTATGGTGAATGTAGAAAACTAAAAACAGGAACATGTCTGCATTGTAATCTATTGCATTCATTGCAATCTATAAAATAATCCCTCTAGGGCAGCAAGTTGGCCTAGGGAGCTATACTAATGAGTTAGACAGGGGATAGCTGGGCCCCTCCACTCTCTCATAACCAGCTTCCTCCCCAACATAATGGCTGTCTGTGAAAGAGAGGAAGGCAAGTGGCCCAATAATGAAGCATCTCCGAGACTATAGAGCCTGCTGCAAAGAGGTACTGTATATTCTGGCTAACTATTTTTTTCTAAAATTTTTTGAACTGATGACCAGTATTCTTGGATTTTTGGACACTCCCAAAGCGTATGTACCAATGTTCTCTTATCCTCCTGACATTTCCAACAAGCCGGGGTATCTAACAAATCCACCCTGTACAGTCTTTATGGTGTCCAGTATACTCTGTGTAGAATCTTAAATTGTACCAGTCTCGTTTTAAGTTCCCTTCACATTTTCTTCCCATTTTAAAAAATTGAATACCACTCCTCATCCATGATACTAAGTTTTAGATGTTTCCCAGGATCTCTTAAGAGACAGTATATTAGGATCCAAGGCTGTCAACAACATTTTATAATAAACCGAGGTCTCATGCCCATGACCAGACACGTTTATTTTATATCTTCCAGTTTATTACATACAGGAACAAAAAGGGAGTAGCCACAAATCTTAATCAATAAATGTCTTAATTGTAGATATTTCCAAAAATCTTGTCTGGGTAACTTAAATTCTCTAACATATGGGAGAGAACAAGATGCAACTGATTCTGAGGGGCAAGGTTAACTGATAAACAGCTAGACAGTGCATATGGCAGACATGATACAGTCTCATGTGTGAACCAAGGCGGAACTCTCTCTGGGGGCAAAAACCAATGTGCCAAATGCCTGAGAGAAAAGGCATAATGGTAGTTAAGCAAATTTGGCATACCTAAGCCCTCGTTGTCTACAGGTCTTTGCAGTTTTTTGCA